TCAGTGAGTCAGTGAGTGAGTGAGTCAGCGAGTCAGCCAGTCAGCCAGACAGTCAGTCAGTGAGTCAGTGAGTGAGTGAGTCAGCGAGTCAGCCAGTCAGCCAGACAGTCAGTCAGTGAGTCAGTGAGTGAATGCAAGCATGTGTGAGGGAGTGAGTGAGTAGTGAGTGGTCAGTAAATAGTGAGTGGATAGGAGGTCAGTAAAAGGTCAGTGAATGGTAAGCCAGGCAAGTGGAATATATAAGAATGTATATTGTCATCAAGGATGCTGTGGTGATGTGACTGGTGTATGGGTTGCTATTGGTTTCAGCTGCCCGATGTGTCCGCTGTACTAGAGAATGTCACATCGACGATTGAAGCCAATGTAGACAAATTAAAGACCGATGGACGGAAGCACTACATAAAGGTCACGGAGGAAATACAGGCACGCGCTAGTGCTACAACACAAGGTACGGCAGATGCGAACCTTTATCTAGCATAAGTTTCATTGGTATGGTAGATTTGTTCATAACATTTGCAGCTCCTTTTGCCAGTACACAGGTATGTGAATGCGTGCATTTGGCTGTTCATGCGTGCGTGCGTGCGTACGTACATGTGTGCGTATGCATACATGTGTATGCCTGCGTGTGCTTCTGAATGTCTGTGCTTAGAGAGCAGGATTGAATTGATGGGTTAGGTGTGTGCATAATGCAATAAATACATGCACACATGCAATCAAAAGGGACGGTCAATAGACAACGATAACAACTGATCGACACTGAACAACTGAATGGTTGACAGTTTGTGCATTACATGTATGTATGTTTATGTCATATAAATTTGTTTGTAATTGTCCTCGGTTGTATTTCGTTACAGAAGCAAAGAACAAAGTTGACAGTGTTGGACGAGATGTTGCTGAAATTTCAGACATGGTCTCTGAGTCTATACGAAAGGTTTGTTCAATAAAATCTTTACTTTGATGCTTGTTCATATAGGTTAGGTTCCTAGTAAAATATTGATGGAACCCTATCATAACAGTTTGTAATATATTTCGTTTTTCTCCTTTTAGATAAAAGTCGAGGTCCGCAAAGCCAAAGGTGGTGTAAACACGTTGGACGGTTATATCCAAGAGCGACCGTATGCTTAGTAAGTACTTTATCACAACATTCTGCTGATCGCATTTTATATCAGCACTCGATCCTATAGAAATTCCGTGTTTTTTATGTTGTACCGGTAAACATGTACCATCTATAAGGATCTTAAAAAGAATGATGTTCAATTGTAAGTTGATTGCTCAGTTCTGGAAAGCCACTAGCAGCTTATTTGATTTCATAATGGCATCATAGCCTTTCTCTCTGTATATATATTGTCCATATTTCAGTTGCAGTCCAATCACGGAACTATAATCAATGCATATATTATTATTATTATTATTATTATTACTACTACTATTGATAATAATCTTATTATAATTATTCGTACTAACCAGCAATATTTTGCCAACCAACGTAGCTGCTATAACACTATCTGTATTGTAATTGTGATCTTGTCACATACTTATATTCACCACATATTATGATTATTATTATTTATATTATTATTATTATTATTACCTAACGAGCAGTGTTTTGCGCAGCTACTATACAGGCGTGGGCATCAGCGCAGTGCTACTGCTCATTGTCTTACTCAACGCACTCGGCCTGATGTACGGTGTGTGTGCGCCGCGGCCAAACGATCGCCATGACGACTCGTGCACGCGCAGCACCGGCTCCAACCTGCTCATGGCGTGAGTACTCGCGCACGCACATGCGTGCTGCAGCCACCGCTGCTGTCGCGTCTCTCGCGAATCAACCTGCCGTTTGTTTCGCGTGGGTCGTGTGGCGAGCGTGAATGTGTTGGTGTGAAATTTGCGATGTGTGTGCTGGCCATATGTGCGTAGAAATGATACACTTAATCTTCGGAGGATGCGATATGTTTGGTTAACATTTCGATGAAGTTGTTGGTTTATGGTGATCAATATTTGCTCAATCTTAAACTATATATACTACATGTGTGGTCTAATTATAGACATGTAGAAATGATATAGACTTGATTAGAACAAAATTGGAAAGAAAAGGTCGTGTTTGTTTTTAAACATTTCAATGATGATTAGTTTTCGTTTTGTTTATAGCAGTCGAAAAAGCGTGTGGTGTTTACCATATAGTTAGTATCAATTTTATGGTTTGATTATGAATTTAACACGCCTACCGTGTCTGTATGTTGATCGGTCTGAGAAAATTATTGTACAGCGTGCCACATGTTCAAATTATGCTTTTGTGAGTGGAAAGGATGATAATGGTGGGAAAGGTTACTGGCACCGATGGTACTTATGATGGCAATCAGACAATGGAGAAGATAATGGGAATGTTGTTGCTGATGATGATGGTGGTGATGATGATGATAGTGGCGATGATGATGATGATGATGATGATGATGATGATGATGATAACAATGGTACAATATATATCTGATGGTTGCATTGCAGCGGTGTTGCCTTGTCCTTCCTCTTCTGTTGGATCATCATGATAGTCTGTGTTGTACTATTCATCATCGGTGGAAATGTACACATCCTCGTCTGCGACCCTCTCGCCAGCCCCACTGGGCTACACACACAGGAGAGCAATGAACAGGTATACCCCAGGCCACAATTACAAAAATCTTTGTTTGCCCTCACCCCACCCAGGTTGAAAAGTTTGGGTAGGTAGGTCGGCTTTTCTTTTCTTTTTTTGAGGGCGGGGTCTTTTTACAAATTCAGCGTGGTGTCTACATGCTCGGGTGTGCTTGTGTGGAGATACCTTTTATGTTGAATGTTTCTTTTGCTTGGTACATATAATGTATTGCCTACAGATTTATATAATGTACAGTGATAAAATTTGTTGAAAAAAAAAAAATTTGAGTTGGCCCCTTTTTGGCGGGTCAATCGGGTGAGGGCAAACAAACAATATTTTTATTATGGCCCCACCCCCACACGCACACACGCATGTGCAGGAATGCACACACACACACAGGCATGCAAGCAAGCATGCACACAGACGCAGGCATGCACGCGCACCGACATACACACATACATAATGTACACGGACACAAAAAGTGTTGCAGTTTGAACACGGCTTATCAATTTTCTCAGGTGTATTTGATGCAGCCTGGTTTTTGGGGTTGAATCGTAGGCAAAATCTAGAGCAGATATTGCACAGCTGTGAAAGTGTTATTGACGGAGGGCACGAAGAGATGTGAGCAATAGCATGCATCTTTAAATTACACTGTACTAATGTATGCGTTGTGAGTTTTCTAGTTAATGTCATGTTATGGTCCCTTAAAAATAACTAGGTCCAATAGAATAATAAGAATAATAATCACAAAGTGAAACGTGATTTTTTAGTGATTTCAAAGATTGTAAATACTCTCAACAAAAAATTTATCACTGAACTTTTGCCAAACAGAGTTTTTGTTACAAGGATGAAATTAAAAACTCACTGAGACCGTGTGTCATTGGCCATTTGAAATTTTTCCCTTATAAAGAACAAACAGGGGCAGATCTAGGGGGGTGTCCAGGGAATCTGCCCCCCCTTCCTTTTAATTTCAAAGTGCCCTAAAAAATTCATCTCCATTTTTTTTAGGGTTAGTTTTTCTGATAAAGATTTACTTATATAAAATCTTAGAAATGGGCAAAGAAGGGTCCGGGGGATCGGATCTGATAAATTTGTGTGAATTTCAGAGGTGAATTTCACTGTAGGATGACTTAAAAGAATTTTCTGCTAAAAATTGAGAATTCCGTCTTGCATTCTTGACATCAAAATTACTGCTCAGATGCTCTCAGAATGAACCAATTTTTAAAAAATTCTTGGAGGAGGTCCCCGAAACTCCCCCTAAGTACCTTTGGCAGCTTTTTAATACACCAGAAAAATTAAGCAGGAAAAGGTGCCCTTTATTTCTTCCTGGACACCCCCCTTTCAAAAATCCTGGATCCGCCCCTGACAAATGACATTGTCATGATGCTGTGGGCAGCATGTATGATTGAATTTCCTGTACAATAAAGACTGAAAGAAACAGAAAATTACTTAGTATGGTAGAGACTTTCGCCATCAAGGGTGAACCGGAATGCTAGTTGTCCTAATAGTGTTACAATAAGAAATGTGATATCTACATGCTTATCCATTGTGTACCACTAAACATAATGTACATCTGTTTTCTGCATGTATTAACATTACCCATGTGTATGCCACATATTGTGATTGCAGTTGCATCAGGAGTAAATAATAAGCTTATTATTTATTCCTGGTTGTATCCTGTTTGTGCAGCACCCACTGTATCATTGTCTTGCTCAGCGTCGTCATGTCAGTCTACATTCGGATGTACCACGTTAGTAGCAGCATGGACTTTTTCTTTGTATGTCACCCATGACCTTGTTGTCAACCCAATCATTTGTCTGGCTTTTTCAGCTGGGCAGCACCTGTTCAATCTTTGGCTGCGAGTATCTACGTGACTTCGTTCCCTCACGACCTTTAAATCAATCTGAACAGTTCAAGGTATTAGTCCAGCTAGCTCTTGCATCAGTAGTGACAAGTGTAATTGCATTGCTTAGTTGGCAGCACTACCAGGCAGTGATGTGGACACTGCTTGTAGCACGATCATTTACCGTTTCCACGCGTGGAGTTATATGCAGGTTACTGCATAACAAGGTTCCGCTTTTCCATAATATGATGGTTGTCTTTGTATTTTGGTGTCTTCAGACACAGCAGGTGCTTGAGTAACAGTGTAACAAGTGTCCTATGTTAATGCTGGAGTATGTTTCTTCTAGAGTCACGCTGTGGATGTTATTAGTACCATATGTTATATTGTCTCTTTTCTGTGAACTCCCAATATTTGATTGTGTTTCATTATTCCTCTTGCACAGTGTTATACGCAGGGTGCTCTTTTTGTAAGCAATGTGCATGTGGTAGATTAAATTGTGTTTCTCATGCGTTTTTGATTTAGCTGTTAGACATTTATGGAAATTTTAGTCTGATTAGCCACACGTTGTTATGTGTAGATCATTGATTACTACTTCACGGAGTATGGCAAGGAACCCATCTATGGCAGAAAAGATGTCCCAGTCACGTTTGAAGGCATCATAACGTGAGTACATGTTGAGTCTTGAAAAAGCCTTATTAGGAATTAAATAGTAAAAAATAGAGTAAAGCATTTGCAATAATTGACTTGTGCACATAGAGTTGAGTTATTAATATTTAAAAAAAAGCTAGTCACAAAGTTAACCTGGAGTTGAAATTTATTTAATACAGCAATATTTTGTATGAATCCCACATAGCACAGATTCATACAATAGTGCCTAGTAGTTGCAGCCGTTCTGTTACATATTAATAACTACATATTTTTAACCATAAATATTCTTTGCTGAAATGTGAGTGCATCTTATTTGTCCATGCTTTTATATGCCTTAAAATATGGTAACCTTGGTAATGTGAGTATATTTACTTTTCTGTAGCCGATGCAACAACAACCAGAGCTTTTACGAGGTATTTAGGATCGACTATGTGCACAACATTACTGAGATGACAAGCCGATTCAAAGCAGTAAGCATTCTTGGTTGTTGAGGATTACTGTAACCTAGATTAGTTACTCGTTATCAGTATAAGCACTCAGACACAGGTATGCACACGCACTACATACACACAACCAGCGTTCGAAATTAGTGCCGACCCGGAGGCCCGAGGCCACCAAGTTTTTGTTTCGGCCACCATCTCTACGAAACTGCCGGTCCTCCTGACCAGCACTTTTTCCCCTCATATTACGCTGAAATACTACGGTTATCGCAATGGCTGTTTAGACAAACTTGTAAACGGGAGCGCATTCTAATATGCTCCGTTCCTGAGCGTAGACGGGGTATCCAAAACATCTAGAGCCGAGGGCATGAACTCCCTCAACGCATGATTCGCCACACGAACAAAACCTTGTGACAGTCTAAGAAATCGATTGCAGCATGACCCCAGTGTTTTTATGACCGCATAACAATAAGTTCATATGTCGCAGGGGTTATCGTGGGGAGTGAGGGCACGACCAGTGATACCTGACACGCACGTAATCAAAGCTGTTAACTGAATTCGTCACTTTTCTTTACGTGGAAAGTGGACTATTTTTGGCTCACCTGACATAGTCTGATGCAGCTTGTAGAATCGCATGAGCGTGCGTCCGTCTGGCTGTGCGCCCGTCCGTGCGTCCGTGCGTCAACAGTTGGGCACAAATCTTAACTGCTTGACGTAAGGTCACGATATTCGGAACGTGGTGGTGGTAGTGGTGGG